TGTGACGTATCTCCCGACTGGCACATACGTCTCGTCATAGTCGGCGCTGTAAACATGTAAGCCTTTCACGACCAGCCTCGCCTTCTCCCGAGGGACCGTATCGTCGACCTTGTACTTCGTCATCAGCACCCACCGGTTCTTCATGATGTTCACCCCGCGTGGGCACTCAACCAGCTCTCAAGTGCCGTTGGCGATGAGGCTGCGGATCTCCTCGTCCATGGCGACCTTCACCGCCTTGCCCTTCCAGCTCGCCAACGCCTCCTTCACCATCATCGTAGCGATGTCCCAACAATGCTCAGGGTCGGTGTGCATGTCGAGGTCGAGCTCGGGCAGGTCGACGTCGGCCTCAACGTCGTCGAGCAGCGTAGTGAAGGCGGCTGGCGTGGTGAAAGCTCAGCCGCTCCGGCCGCTTCCGACTTGGGCCTGAGCGTTGCAGTTTTGTCTTCTCGACCGGAACCTCCACCAAGTCGCTATTGGTAGAATCCTCCCCTGCCGACAGCTCCCCTTCATCATCGACACCCTCGTCGTCGACGAGCTGCTTTGCCAGCGTCGGCCCCTCGACCGGCTTGCCGACTTCTCTTTCGTCGACAGCTCTCCTTTTGACTTCCCCGTCTGCTGCTCCCCTGTCAGTGGCACTTCTGCTGCTGCCTCCTTCTCCACTAGATTCCCTGTCCGCCGCTCCCCTATCGTCCACGGCTGCACACTCTCGTCGAAGAGGTTGGCGTCACGTCGGCCGACGGCGATGCCACTGGCTAGCGCCACAGGCGACGCCTCAAGGCTCCCCTCATCGCTGGTTGCCGACGACGGTGTCGGTGGAGAAGTGGGAACAGGGGGAGGAGGAGAGGGCTGGACTTCCTCGACATCCTCATTAGCAGGATCGTCAACTTCGGCAAGCAGCGGGAGTGTCGCCTTCGAGGTGTCCGTCAGTGGGTGTGCCTGCGTCCGCCCCGACGCCGGCCCATACTTCACCTTCCACACCTCCAGCGACAGCGTCTCGTAGAAGGTGACCTCCACCGACGTGGCCATCTTGTTGTCGGCCAAGTCGAGCACCTCCCAGCCCTTGCTCTCCAGCGACACACCGAGGTGAAGCCCCCACCGGGCCTTCATCGCCAACTTCCCACCACACTGCTACTCCGGGACCATGAATTGCACCATGCAACCCCACACCCGTGCCAGCGTAAGGTCGGGCTTCTTGCCAGTCAGCAGCTGGTACGGCGTCGTCCCTGGTGGCGTAGTCGACCGCTCAAAGCAGTTGTGTACCTAAACGGCCTGCGGTAGGGCGAGGTGCCAACAGTGGTGCTGCACGCCCATGTGCAACAGCATCGTCCGCACTGAGTTGACCACCGTTCGCATCTCCTGTTCCGCCATCATGTTTTGTTGCGGGGTGTACGGGCACGTCAAGTCGTGGACGATGCCCTTCCCGTCGTTGAAGTCGGTGAACTACTGGCCGAGGAACTCCCCTACTCAGTCGGAATGGAGCATTAGCACCATCTTCTTCGTCTGCCGCTCCACTGCCAGCAGCCACTTCTCGAACACCCGCAGAACGTCGCACTTCTTAGCGACCGGCGTCACCCATACGTACCGAGTGTGGTGGTCCTTTAGTAGCAGGAAGTACAAGATGCCGTCCTTGGCAGCCACCTACAATGGCCCGCACAAGTCAATGTGCACAACAGTCAGGGCCTCTTCTGTGTCCGAACCCTTGTCGGGGAAGGTGTGCCGTGCCAGCTTCCCGCTTATGCACGAAACACACGGCAAGTCGGCCCCGGTCGACGGTTTGATGTCGAGGCCGGTGGCGACTTCATGCTTCGCCGAACTCTTGATCGTGTCGACGCCGATGTGCACGAGCCTAGCGTGCCACCGGTCGCGGGTCGACTTCGTCGAAGAAGCGATCGTTCGTAGAGCCACTACCTCGGTCGACTTCAACGACGGTTCCGTCGAGCAAGGGCGAAGGTCAGTGCCGATAACGCAGCCATTGTAGCATGCTTGACTGAGCACCTTGCTTGCACTCGACACGAGCAGCATCTCGTCACCGTCGTCCTGCAACTTCACGCCGCTTTCCTGCAATTGGCCGGCTGACAGCAGGTTCGACTGGACGCCCAAAACGTAGAGGACGTCGAGGACGAGAATCCGCTTTCCAGCATCCCCTTGTAGAGCGACGGTGCCGTGGCCCTCGACGGCCTGCAGAGCCACGTTGAAGCGGCGCACATGCTTCACGTCGTTGCTCGGTGCCATGTCGACAAAGGCCTCCTTCGTCCCCAGGAGATGGTGCGAGCGACCGTTGTCAAGCAGCACCACTGTCGGGTTTGCTTGCACAGCGGCCTTCACTGCCTTGAAGTCTTTGCCGGCCTCCGGCGCAAGCAAGACTGCGGCTCCATGAGGCCGACCATCGAGCACAACACCTCCCAATTGCCTTGGCCCTTGCCGCTGGAGGAGTCGACGTCCTTCGTTAACGACGTCTTCTTCGACGCCTGCTTTTCCTTGCGCGACTTCTCATCCTGACGCAGACGACGACTGGCTGACCGTCCGCGACATCCTTTGTTGTCGTCCTCATTGTTGTTGTCGCGGTCGGGACACTCAAAGGCGAATTGGTCGGGGTCGCCACATACCCAGCACTGCTGCCGTCAACCACCACAATTGCAACCGCTGTCCCGAGACGACTTTTTGTGGTCGGCATCCTTCGTCGACCTCCCACATCTGCTACCACCTCCGCTCGGCTTCCCACACTGCCCTTGCTGACGACTTTGCTTTGCCTCACCCTGCGGAAGGAGCTCCGTGGGCTTCTCTGCCTCCTGCATTGCTTCACCCTTGATGATGTGGCTGATGAGGGTGTCCTTGTCGAGCGACTCCCGCACGTCGGGCATCGCCATCAATTGACGCATGAGGTTGTAGCCGCTCGGCAATCCCTTGACGATGTGCGTGATATACAACGCCATCGAGTAGTCGACGCCCGCCATCCACATGTTGGCAAGGATCCGTCGAGCACAGTTGGAGTAGTCCATCGTCGACTCATGCTCGCCCATCCATAGGTGAGTCAGGATGAACCGCCGCGCCTAATGGTCAGCGTCCAGTCTAGTTCAGCATGGCTTCAGGGTGATCTGCACCATCGGCGAGCAGCACCTCAAGATGACCATAAAGGTTAGCAGGTGAGCGGCGCGAAACTCCGCCCGCAGCTCAACGGCGTCCTTGTCCGACGTCGTCGCCGTCGGCAAAGCCCTTCAGTCTGGCGATCTCTAGCTGAGGCTTGATCGACTCCCTCCACGTGATGAGGTCTCGTCGACCTTGCAGCGGCGCTAGCACGGCGGTCTTGTCTGGCAAAAACTATAAGTAGTCGTTCGCCGGCAAGGTCCCGCACGCCGTCACATGCGTCGTCGACATGGGCCTCCCACTACTTCGCTGGGGAGAGCGACGTCGCCCGTCGAAACGCGAGCTGCCAGCGGCCGCCGTCGACCGTTGCACTCGCACCTGGTTTCCACCGACGCCGACGTCGTCGGACCTGATCACTCCTCTTGGCGCCCTCGTGCCTTCGCTGGCGCCGACTTGGTCACCGCCGTTGACTTCGACGTCGACGTCGTCTTCGTTTCATGCCAATCGAGGAGAAGCAGGTCGGGAAGGGTGTTTCGTTGCCCACTGCGCACAGATACCCAGGACAACCACCTCCTCACATCCGTTTTGTGCCAATCGAGGAGAAGCAGGTCGGGAAGGGTGTTTCGTTGCCCACTGCGCACAGATACCCAGGACAACCACCATCATAAGGGGAGGATGGGCTAGAGCTCGCCAGTTTTTTGGCGTCTCCTCACATCAGCCAACATGCCTCCAACGTGTTGTCTACCGTACCGGCCGCTGCCTGGATAGGCGTCATGGTCCGCACGGGCTGCCGTCCTACGAACGACTTAGGTAAGTGATAAGTCGGCTCCTACTGTGAAGGTAATCTGCGGGGCCGTCCACGCTCACCGCACCACACTGAGAGTCACTCTACAATGGAGCTGGACTACGAGGGAAGGCACGGGCTACGTGAGTGATCGCAGCGTTCATTCGCGTACTCTAGCGCTTGCTTGTTCACAGAGCAATTTGGCAAGAGTTTCACTAGCAAAGTGTGGAGTACATAATGAATGAACAAGCTATTGCTTACATCAGAGGCTAGCAACCTAGGTCGGCCACCAGCACAGCAAGGTCGAATGCCTGCCAGCGTTGCGTAGAGGAACCGCGCCAGTGAAGCAGAAAGGCGGCCTGCCAACAGAGCAAGTTGACGGCGTGCCGATGCTGCAGCAAGGCGGCCGTCCAGCGTTGCACCCGCAGATGATAGCAGCGCACACGCGCGCACCTACATCGCTGGTGCCTGCAGACGGTTGGTGCGACATGCACCGTCACATGCACGTCGCAAGTGCCAAATCGGCCATGTGCAATTGTCTGCGCCTGATGAGCCACGTCGACCTCGGGATACCAGCCTTTGCCTTCGCCATCGCAGCCTCGACAATGTTCGCGTACCTCCGCAGAACCTCGTCGAGGAGGTAACTTGGTCGACCGGGTACCACCATCCGGCGCCCTGGTCGACGACCTCCCTCGTCAACCACAACTCCCGTCGATGCCCACCCCGGTCGACGAGCCCCTCTGTCAACCAGCTTGGTCAGCTGCTGTCGTCAAAGTCCCACCTTCAACGGCCCTCTCGACAAACCCACGCGAGGTCGACGACCACCTTCGACGACCTCCCCATCGAAATAGGCCGCCAGCTCCCATCGACGGCGGCACTGCAGCGGTCGCCCACAGGTCGACCACCTCGTTGACCTGCACGCCCAGGCTGACGTCGACCTCTGCAGTACAGTCAACTGCAGTTTCTGCGAACCCGACCAGAAAGTCCGCTTCGCCCAAGCGAGGGCGAGGCCAACACCCAATTCTCGTCAACAAGAAAGAAAGGGTTGGGATCACTCTTACACGTGATATTATCATGTCCCATGTGACATCCTTCATTTGTCATCTTCTATCTTACTCGTTATTGTCTCACTATGTGGCAGAGCATGAGTAGCTGCCCCGCACCCTCCCTCAAATGCAAGGGGATCGGGGATTGGGGGGAGGCGCGGGAAGGGGGGGCGAAACGACGTGGGCAGTACAAGGGGGGGATGAATAAGCGGGCTAGAATGAGGGGGGTAAACAATGGAAAAAAAACAATTTACAACAGTCCCTCTCACATCACTCACAGCTGTCCCTCTCACAATACTCACATTTCCCTCTCACATCACTCACAGCTGTCCCTCTCACAATACTCACAGCTCCCTCTCACAGCACTCACAGCTGTCCCTCTCACATCACTCACAGCTGTCCCTCTCACATCACTCACAGCTGTCCCTCTCACATCACTCACAGCTGTCCCTCTCACATCACTCACAGCTGCCCCTCTCACATCACTCACAGCTTCCCCTCTCATATCACTCACAGCTGCCCCTCTCACATCACTCACAGCTTCCCCTCTCACATCACTCACAGTTGCCTCTCTCACATCACTCACAGCGTCCCCTCTCACATCACTCACAGCTGCCCCTCTCACATCACTCACAGCTGCCCCTCAAACATCAATCACAGCTGTCCCTCTCACATCACTCATAGCTGCCCCTCTCACATCACTCACAACTGTCCCTCTCGCATCACTCACAGCTGCCCCTCTCACATCACTCACAGCTTCCCCTCTCACATCACTCATAGCTGCCCCCCTCACATCACTCACAGCTGCCCCTCTGACATCACTCACAGCTGCCCATCTCACAACACTCACAGCTGCCCCTCTCACATCACGCACAGCTGTCCCTCTCACATCACTCACAACTGCCCCTCTCACATCACTCCCAGCTGCCCTTCTCACATCACTCCCAGCTTCCCCTCTCACATCACTCACAGCTGTCCCTCTCACATCACTCACAGCTGTCCCTCTCACACCAATCATAGCTGTCCCTCTCACATCAATCACAGCTGCCCCTCTCACATCACTCATAGCTGTCCCTCTCACATCACGCACAACTGTCGACCTCACATCACTCACAACTGTCCCTCTCACATCACTCACAGCTGTCCCTCTCACATCCCTCACAGCTGCCCCTCTCACATCACTCACAGCTTCCCCTCTCATATCACTCACAGCTGTCCCTCTCACATCACTCACAGCTTCCCCTCTCACATCACTCATAGCTGCCTCTCTCACATCACTCACAGCGGCCCCTCTCACATCACTCACAGCTGCCCCTCAAACATCAATCACAGCTGTCCCTCTCACATCACTTACAGCTGCCCCTCTCACATCACTCACAGCTGTCCCTCTCGCATCACTCATAGCTGCCCCTCTCACATCACTGACAGCTTCCCCTCTCACATCTCCCAACTGCCCCCCTCACATCACTCACAGCTGCCCCTCTGACATCACTCACAGCTGCCCATCTCACAACACTCACAGCTGTCCCTCTCACGTCACGCACAGCTGTCCCTCTCACATCACTCACAGCTGCCCCTCTCACATCACTCCCAGCTGCCCCTCTCACATCACTCCCAGCTTCCCCTCTCACATCACTCACAGCTGTCCCTCTCACATCACTCACAGCTGCCCCTCTCACATCACTTACAGCTGCCCCTCTCACGTCACTCACAGCTGTCCCTCTCACATCACTCACATCTATCCCTCTCACATCACTCACAGCTGCCCCTCTCACATCACTCACAGCTGTCCCTCTCACATCACTCACAGCTGCCCCTCTCACATCATTCACAGCTGCCCCTCTCACATAACTCACAGCTGCACTCTTTGGCGGTATCACCTCCAGCAGCAGCACACGATAGGTGTGGTGAGGAAAATAGTGTAATGTCTTGCCGTGAGAGGATGACAGGCTTCTATCTTATCACTTCCAACAAAGCATATGAATGGTCTGAGACGCATGTCTCAAAGCAGCATGAGATCATATTTTTTTCCATGAGATCAGAGTTTGTTTGCGATTGAAACTCTCGCTCTTTTTCTCTGGTACTACTCTTCCGTCCACGAGGGATGAAGACCCATCGATGTTGAGGCATCTCAAGAATGGGGTTGGGCTTGTTGTATGCCTTTCTGGTTTCCACTTTCTTCCCTTTCCTCAAGCACCCACTTGTGCAGGTGAGCCATGGGGTTTGCCTTGTTGGTGTGGGTTGCACATAGCCCAAAGTGCTTACTATTTCCACTCCTATGCCGTGTCTCCTTCTGTTCTCCATCCTCCTCTTTACTAACCTTTTCTCCCTCTTTTTTTTTTTTTTTTTTTTTTTTTTTTTTTTTTTTTTTGCAGGAGGTGAAATTGCATCATACAACGCTAAAAACACCACCCATCGGTCGTAACCATGCTAGAGGGCCTATGTATAGCATACCGTACCCTCGCTGAAACCTCTACGGTAGTTTATATATCAGTCGCCTGAAATTTTCATCCTGCCCACTAGGGAGAACCCTAGCAATGCTGCTGGCCTGCTTCGTGTGTGGCTGGACCCACTTGAACATTGTTTTGACGAGCGTTTGTTGCTCTGTAAATTGCATCGTTTAGAGAGCGGTGAAGAGTGGTTTTAGCCACAATCTTGGTTGGGCGAACCCTCCGCTCCAATGCAGCAGCTCTCCATAGCTTCCTCCGACAATGACGGCGAGTGAAAATTGCCACTGCTTGTTCACGTATTCTGACGCATCCCCACATTCCTCTTAACTCCAGCATTACCAAGCTTTAACGCCGTAGATTAATGTCACGAAATTCCGTAAATGCTTCTTTGTTCTTGCCACCTGATTCATGGTAACGACGAACTGTAAAAGAACTTAAGTCAATCTCCTCCAGATGCAAATATGCTTCTTGCAGCGTAGTTTCCTAAGACTTCTGAACGGAGCTCGCGTCAGCTTCGGGAGTCTTTTGGTCATTCAACAGTAAATATGCCTCATCGTCAATAATTTCAGCAGTCACGCTGATTGTAGGAATGTCTTCACAATCTGTAGATACCATAACTCTTGCTTCCTGGAAATCATAATGTGAAACCGACTTGAACGATCGTGTCACTAGGTGGTTATCTTGAGTATCCAGATGTTGTCGCTGAATGGCAGCAAAAGATGTCAAGCGAAAAACATTTAGCCGTCTTGCTTCCCTGCATTAAAGTTCCTGATTTCACTTGATCTGACTTTATTCTCCATATGCCATCTTGGTTGATGGGTTGAGATCAGCAGCGCCATAGTATAATCGTTTGAGAGACTTGAGCAATGTCGTTGTGAGCTTTCCATCACTGAATAACCTGAAAAACGGTATCCTCAGAAGATGTGACTGTCAGAATACTGAACGAGAATGAATGAACTATGAATGAGTTGGGTACAAGTACTAACCCCAATTGGGTTGTACCCCTTATGGGCTACCCCAGTACAGCCTACACAATGTAAGCTAGATATGAGTTTGACACACCCCCATAGGCAAAGTGGGGGAGAACAAGTGGTCACAAGACCAGTCAAGAAAAGCAAAGCAGCTCAGGGTGGATCACAAAGTCACCACACAGTCTGAGCATGAGCAAATGGCCACAAGGCTAGTTCACATGCAGAGTTATATATAGGAGAACAAACAATACAGTGATCATATCCTAGCAAGCGCAAGCATGCAGGTATATAAAAAGATCACAGTACAAGCAAAGCCACGCAGTGAGCAAGTGAGGCAAAGTAGGCACAAGGCCTAAAACGGTACAGAAACGCTGATGATCCCCAGACTGAAGTGCCTTGGTGGATGTATCAGCAGTGTTGGCCCGAGTGGCAACGTAAGCAAGACGAAGCTAACCACGCTGCTGCAGCTCTCGAGCAAGGAAGTAACGCAGAGCGATGTGCTTCGTTTTGTGCTCCTGTCTGTGCTCGTGACACAAGGCAATCATGGCAATCACGGAACTAGAGAAGAACGATGCCGCTCTCCCAAGTCGGTCAGCAGGTAGGTGAGCCAGCGTAGCTCTTGTGCAGCCATGGCCCCAGCGTAGATCTCAGCCTCACAACTGGAACTGAGAACAGAAGACAGCGGGTAGACCGCCAAGAAACAGAGCCGGAGCCAAGGCTGAAAGAGTAACCCTGTGACGACCGCTGCGTAGCCAAGTCGTCAACCCAAGAAGCGTCTGCGTGACCAATGAGGACAACTGGACCCCGTCCTCCAAGCACGAGCCCCATGCCCGACGTACTGCACAAGTAGGGAAAAACCCTCTTAGCAGCCTCCCAGTGCTCTGGTCAGTGTCTCCCGGGCGCAACGTAGCGTGCCAGGATGCTAAGAGGGTAGGCAAGGTTAGGACGAGTGCAGGTCATCAAGTACATGAGGCAGCCCACAAGCTCTGGATACGGGCCACTCGGTTCTACGGACTCGTCCAAAGGTGGAGCTGAGAGGAAGTGACCGGTAGGCAGAGGAGTGGACTGTGGCAAGGAGTACCGGAAGCCGAAGCGCTGAAGGACCTGGTGCACCATGTGTGACTGAATCAGGGTGATGGTGCGCCGTGCTCTGTCCCGGGTGATCTGCAAGCCAAGATAGTTGCGCAGCTCACCCAGGTCAGTGCAAGTGTGTCTCTTGTGCAGCTCCGACTTCACAAGGGCCAGAGCCTCAGTGTCAGCAGTGGCAAAGACCAAGTTGTCGACGTACACGAGGACGTAGAACAGCGGCAGCGAAGTGTCGGTGCGTAGAAACAGCGACGGGTCAGTAGTAGAAGGAGCAAACCCGAGAGCTGCAAGCGTCGTCCTAAGTGTGTCGTGCCACTCGCGAGGCGCCTGGCGGAGACCGTAGACTGGCCGACGGAGGCTCCACTGGGTACCTGCAGGAAACGACCCAGTGAAGCCAGGTGGGCGGCGCAGCCAGATCTCCTCGTGCAGACTGCCCTATAAGAAAGCTATGCAGAAGTCAAGAGAGTGAAGCTCGTAGTCACGCTGAGCGACGACGTGCAGCAGAACCCGAAGAGTGGTTATCTTTGAGGTATGGGAGAAGGTCTGGAAGAAGTCAATTCCCTGTCGCTGACTGAGGCCTCGTGCAACGTAACGAGCCTTGAAGATAGGCGGAGAACCTGGCGGCCGCTTCACCCTGAAAATCCACATGCCATCGACTATGTTCGCCCCAGAAGGGGGAACTTCGTCGACGTAGGTGCCTGTGGACTTCCAGGATGCCATCTCTGCGTCCATGGCTGTCTACCACTAAGAGGAGTAGGGACCCGTAATCGCCTCTGCGTGAGAGCGCGGGGTCGGGATGTCTGGTGCATCCGGGTCTCCCTCAGGTGCAAGCAGCATGGCCACGAGATGAGGTACAGCTGCTGCAAGACACTCAAAGTCCTCCTGCCTGTCCTCAAGGACGTCCGTGCCAAGAGCACACTCACCCCCGACGGATGGAGGACAGTTAGGCTCAGACTAAGCAACAAGACTAGTGGCATAGTCGAGACGACAGGTGGCAGCAAAGTCAACAAGCAGCGGACTCAAACAAAGAGTTTGAGACAACAGTGGCAAGATGAGGAGGGACAGTAGGACAGGCAGCACGTGTTAAGTCTGACTCAAGGCTAGGAACGTTAAGAAGAGAGGACACAGGAGGAGATGGCATGGGAACTCGTAGTGGAACAGAGTAAGGACGAAGTGCCATAACGTGAGTGCCAGGGACAGGAGGAGGACGCGGACGAGGAGCACGACGACCAGTGCGAATAGCGTGAACAGGCAAGGCAAGATGAGACTCAGGCTCACGTTGCTCTGTAAGAGAGTATGTCTGCTCAGCATAAGGAGGAGCAGGTAGTGGGGAGTCTGGCTGTAACTGTGGCTGAGACTGGAGAGGCGGTGGACACAGCAAGCTAGGAGTAAGGCCAGTAGAAGACGGGAGACTAAGAACCTGGCAAAGAACCGAGTCAGGTGGCGGCAGAGACGACGACGGCGGCGAAACGAAAACTGGCGCCGCTGCACTGTGCCTCGAGCACAAGGACTGCTAGCTCGAGCACCCCCAGCGCGAGCACCTCCAGCTCCAGGGTCTCCAGCTCCAGTGCCTCCCGCTCCAACGCCTCCAACGCCAGTGCCTCCAGCTCCAGCACCTCCAGTGCCGGGGTCTCCAGCTCCACCTCCTCCAGCTCCTGCGCCTCCAGTGTTAGTGCCTCCAGCTCTAGAGTCTCCAAATCCAGCTCCTCCAGCTCTAGCGCCTCCAGCGCTAGTGCCTCCAGCTCCAGAGTCTCCAGCTCCAGCTCCAGCGCCTCCAGCGCTAGTGCCTCCAGCTCCAGAGTCTCCAGATCTAGTGCCTCTAGCTCCAGCGCCTCCAGCGCCAGGGTCTCCAGCTCCAGAGTCTCTAGCTCCAGCGCCTCCAACACCACCAGCTCCGGCAGCTCCAGTACCTCTAGTACGAGCACCTCCAGGACCAGCAGCTCCAGCACCTCCGGTACCTCCAACTCCAGCAGTAACTCCAGCACCTCCAAGACTAGTAGCTCCAGTACCTCCAGCTCCAGGTCCTCCCGCGGCAGAGCCTTCAGCTCCTGCAGCGCCACTCCTAAGGCGTGTGTGCTGAGAAAACCACTCGCGCAGCTGTTGCGGTTAGAGAGGCTCCCGCCGAGGAGACAGTCGTGGCGAGGCACCCGCAGGACCTCCGGCAGACGCAGTACCCCTAGGCTCAGCACCCCCAGACTCCGCACCCTCAGACTCAATACCCCCAGGCTCCGCACCCTCAAGCTCAATACCCCTAGGCTCCGCACCCCCAAGCTCAGCACCCCTAGACTCCACACCCTCAGACTCAGCACCCACAGGCTCCGCATCCTCAGGCTCCACACTCGCAGGCTCAGCACCCCCAGACGCAGTACCCCCAGACATAGCACCCCCAGACGCAGCACCTCTAGCAACACCTGAGGC